GGTCAACCGGGTAGGCACACATCCCCGAAAATCAAAACTGATATTCGCAGCCTGTGACACATGTTTAATGGGTAATTTGGGGCGTAGAACACGATGGTGACATTAATTTTGTCATATGTGTACGTGTTTGGCTCAAAAAGTTCAATTTAAGAAATGTATGTATCATGGTCGTGAAGTAGTCACGAGAAATTGCCAAGATTCAGTTCAAGATTTTGGAAAATTCGGATCGATAATCAATAATCGAAGATAGCCATTTGATTGTTCATGGTATTGGCAGTCTAATGGCGTTTACGGCATGTCTATATGTCTATTCTGTGATTTTATATCATTTTTTGAACATATGCCGTTTTTGGTCGAAAACTCTGAAATCATGACGTCACTAAAACTTGGATATCTCAAAAATTTTCCGACCGATTTTTTTGAAACTTTGTCACAATACACTTCAATCAATTCCCTACAGGTAACCAAAATTTGGCGCGCCTGCGGCGCGCCGTTTTTATGCTATAGCCCGGCGAAAAAAGTGGGGGCGTTTAACGCCCCCCCAGCAACTCGCGGGTTAAGCGAATTAGCCCACCCTGGTTGAATAAATAAGGCGATTTCGCCACAAGGTTGCGGAAAACCGACCGAAAACGGCCGGCCGCGCTCAACGTTAATTTGGGCATGCAGACTCTTAAAAACTCGCATTGGGCGGGCAGGGTTTCCCAGGTATTGGCTCCAAAACACCGTATTCGGCTCCCGAATACGTCCAAGTGACCCGCCTCGTTCCTAGTTAACCTTCGCCCCAGTGGGGGGGGGGCATATGTTACCACCCTGTCGCGTTTTTTTTTTTGTATAAATAAAAAAAACGCGGCGCGTAGCGCCGCGCCGCTTGGGGTAGCTTTTGGTACATCAATTTTGGACAATGTGTGAATTTTTTGACCCCAGGTCATGTCAGGTCAGGTCACTAGGTCAAGTTAACTGACCAAGCCTAAAAAAGTTTGCAATCATGTCCAGCCTGCAGTGTTTGTCAGAGAGGTTTCAAACTTGGTGGATTACATGATGTTATGGATGCCTACAATTTGTATATCTCGGATTTTTTATATGCGTGACCTAAGGTCAGGTCAGTGGCGTGACCTTTCCATTATAAGTCAATGGAGAAAAACGAAAATGCCTCTAGATCGGTGTGTACGCATAGGAACAGTCCAAATATTTCAGGATAACAATGATTTGGACCACCCGTGACGACCAAGGTGTCTTTTTTGCTGATAGCCTCTTGAAAGGTCATCCGAGGTCATTTGAGGCTACAAACAGTTTTTTGCCAATAACTCTCGATTGGAAAGAGATAGAACGCTGCGATTGACCTCATTGTGTTTGTCTTGCCGAGACGCATCGACTGATATGCAACATGACTTTTTCCGGTCAGGTCATGACCTTGACCTGAGGTCAAATTTTGAAGTTGACCTTTCAAGGTCAAATTATAGTTCATTCGACGCGTCTCGGCGAGAGGAACACGATTCTGGCATTAGAAATGACCCAACTTTTTTTTTAGTCAGAAGTTATTGTCGAAAAACACTTTTCTTAAAAACTGCTATTTTTGGAGTTTTTGCCCTCTGGAGGCTAAACCGTTGACCTGAGGTCATTTTTGATAATAACCTTATCAAAAGAAGAGTTCAAAAGCTATCGATTGCTTTTCCCAGCGTTTTTCTAGCTATCATAGTTCCTGAGATAATGGCATGTTTTCTGAAAACTATAATGGCAATTCGCAAATTTTGACCTTTGATGACCTCTGGTGACCCCAATATTGCTCTAAGATGAAAAATGACCGAAATACTTTCAAACGTACGCATCAAGAGCTATCGACTGCTTTTTTACCGCGTCTTTCTAGCCTTCTTAGTTTTTGAGTTAGAGGTGGGTGGTAACATATGCCCCCCCCCCCCACTAGGGCGAAGTTGGCGGAGACCGCCACTGGGGCGCGGGTTAAGCTCTAATTAGATCAAGTGACTCATTGGGAGCGAAAAAGCGACAAAAAGCATGAATTTCCCTATGGCGGCGGGATGCCGGGTTGCCAGACGGCACACCGGCTATTTCCACTTTTGACACACCATGAAAATCGTTTATACCATACATTACTAACCCTCGCCGGACCTATTGGTTTTCTACATACGCGCCGGCCGAGGGGGGGGGGGCGGGTACGACCCCCCCCTCGCCGTTTCGCCCCTGGTGGAGCTAGCGCGTCGCGGAAAAAACGAGCGTGTGCGCCGTTACGAGACGCAGAGATTGGTACCCGATTTTAAGGTCCTAGGTCAACCGGTGACCTTTGAGGTCAGGTCAAGTGCCCCAAGGTACGGTTCAGTTTTTGGTGAATAACTTCGCAAAAAACGGCCGCAGAGCGCCGATTTTGGCAGCATCGTGTTCGCCTCGCTCAGGCGCGTCGAATGATATACTTTTTGTCCGGGTCAGGTCAACTTGGGGTGTTGACCTCAGGTCAAGGTCAGGTCAGCACCCCCAGGTCACGAAGTTGGTCGAAAGAGGTCATGTCGCATATCATTCGATTCGGCAGGCCTTCCTGAGTCCATTGGTGGCTTTCCCGACTCGCTAGCTCAATTTGATCAAGAGTTATTGACGAAAAACTAATATGACCTTGCTGACGTCATAAATGACGTCACGCAAGGTCAACATTGCAAAAGTGACGCATCTAACCTTGCAAGGAGTGCATCAAATCACGATTCTGTGTGCTTGAGATAGTTGGAAATCGTTCCCGGCGCCAGAATAGCAGTTTTCATTTTTCCCCATTGACTTATATTGGTGAGGTCACGAAAATGACCTGACCTCATATGACCTTTAGGAAAAATCCGAGATATACAAAATGTGGGACTCATAATGGATACTAGATCCTGCAAGTTTCATTTCCCTGTGACATCTCCTCTGGCGGTGAGGGCGTTGCGAAGTTGCGACATCTGAAGACCGTGCAGAGGTTCACTTATGACGTCATAGGTCAGTGACCTGATCTGACCCAAAAATGCGGTTGGTGTCAAAAGATTCGGCTTGGATCAAAGGTCAGGTATGCCAAGTTTCAGCTCTCTATCGCCAGCGTGTTCGGAGCTATCGCGAAAAAACCCTATGGGGGGGGGCGGCACCCGCCCCCCCCCCCTCGGCCGGCGAGGGCTAAACGAGGGCTAAGAAAAAAAATGTCAATTTTTCAACTTTTTATTTTTGACATAAAAATGCACTTTTCTAGACGAGCTTTCTATTCATTTCTATTCAGGAATCTATTGGTGCCATTTGTTTTCACACGTGATGTTCAGAAGTGCCTCTAATTCACGAAAATGCTAATGACGTCACCATGCCCTATGCATGTTGGAGCTATTTTTTACAATTTGGGGGTCAAAAATCAAGATAGAAAGCTGAAATTTGGGACATCTAATGTTCTAATAGAGTTCTATAACATGTATTCCGTTTTTTTTTTTTGGAAATTCTCAAAATTTGGGATTTTATTAGCTGTTTTCAAAAAAATATAGTTATTTGAATTTTTAGGGGTGAAAAACGCATTTTATGGAAAATCCGAGATAGTCATTTTAAAGAACTCGTTGATCTGCGTCTATTGATGTCCTTAATTTGCAATTTGCTTTAAACCCTAATTTTTTGGCGATTTTTTAAACATTTGCCATTTTTTACTGAAAACGCCATGTAGTTACATCACTAAAATCGATATATCTAAAAAAAGGAAAAAAATCTGAAAAATTACAGAGGGAACGTCAAATTGATGGGGGAGAAGGTATGCCAAGTTTCAAGTTCATAGCGTTCATGAAAGTTATTCAAGAAAAATGGAGGGGGTCGGATCCGACCCCCTCCCCTCAGGCGTTCGCGGGTTCAACAATAAGCATCTATATTTTGCGTTTTTGTACTGAGTATTAGCTGGGAAGGGTTGAAAGCAGTGTCGACTTCCACTCCGTTTTCGGCCAGAAGTGTCGACTCCAACTCGGAGCGACTCCGACTCCGACTCCGACTGTAACCGACTCCGACTCCGACTCCGACTCCGACTCCGACTGTAACCAACTCCGACTCCGACTCCGACTCCGACTCCACGGCGCTGATCCATGGTCTCTGATATTTGCCAAATGATAAGTTATCTGCTATCACTTCTCTAGACCACTCCACAGCTTATCATATGCATGCCACCGTTGTCTGCCGTCCGATTTCGCATTGTCCATTTATACATGTCAAGTCTATGACGCGAATTTGCACTTGCATTTGCGAACGTCTGTCTCTGAATGTTTGGAAAGCGGTCTTCTCCCGTTGTGGGCTAGCTTCAGTTGATATCTGTCTCAGAACTTCTTCTCAAGGGAACGTTGAACGGAAATCAAATGTAAAATGAACAGAGGCAATGGTACCGAATTACCTTATTGAAGAATAGCGCTCACCTGTTTCCCAAAGTTTAGCACCGCTCTTCAACATCTGATATCCGATCGGCATCTGGCACAATTTTTTCCCATCGGAACGTTTTCTATTACAGCAAAACGAATATAGTGACATCGTCCACTGCCGGATCCAGGGAGCGGACATTTAAGGCAAATACTCGCCCCCTCGCAACGCCCAAAATCGTCAAAAACATGTTTTCTTACAGGTGATAAGACTTTTATAAGTTCTGTTTTTGCTTTTAACTGCTCAGCACTAGGTATGAAAACAATCAAAATCCGAGGGTATTTCGGATTTTGGAGACAATTTTTTATGGGTATGTTTCCGCATCGTCCAAACCGCCTTTCTGGATCCGGCTATGACATCATCTCGTCTGAGCTGTTGCCCCCCTCCCACGCCAAAATGGAATCCGCCACCACTGATCAACTCTCTAGACCACTCCACAGCTTATCATGTTCATACCACATCGTCTGCCCATGCCCACTGTTGCACGGCGCTGATATAGATTGACCAGAGCTGATAGCGACTATCAAATGCAACTGTGCTAACAGAGCAGTGCATTGGTGAACGGTAAGGGCCTCTCGGGTGGGGCACTTTTCCTCAGACGCTGTGACTGTACCCATCGAGGGAATTTGTCTTAGTGGTCTGCTGGAGACTGACTTAGCTATCTGCTTCGTGCCTGAGGCTGGGTAAGTGATTCATTATATCATTTTTAGAAGGTAATGATTAGCAATTGAGTTACCATCAACAATATCATCGGGAATCCGTGTTAGCTCAGTTGTGAATTTAGTTATCATTGGATAAAACTAGATAGATCTCGAGGCAGTTCTACACATTAAGATCAGGATTCTTTTTTTAATTATCTACACGGAGAAAAATAATTACTCCCCCCGGGAATCACGATCCCCTATTTGGGAATCAACTGACACCCATGGTGTAATCCGATTCTGAAAAACAGTGTCCATACACCGTTTTTTAGTGTAAATTGATCTCGGTCAGAATCACATACCCAAGGGTCATTTGACTCCCAAAATTTTGACTCCCATTTTAGGTGTCGTGTCAAAAGATCCTGCACGGTGTCAGTGTAAAATAACACATCTAAGCGTTTTTGACGCTATCGTGAGGAGTTTTTATATCCTATAGGTGTCATTTCACACAGTTGAGCGTTTTCGCAATCCGTGACTCCCTTATTAGGTGTAATTTCATCCTCAGTGGTGTCATAATATTCCGTTCAAATGACTTATTGAGTGTAATTTGACCCTCGGTAGTGTCATAATATTCCGGTGTCATTTCAGCCCCATTGGGTTCAAATGACACCGGAATATTATGGCACCACTGAGGGTCAAATTACACCTAATAAGCGAGTCACGGATTACGAAAACGCTCAACTGAGTGAAACGACACCCATAGGGTTCAAAAACTCCACATGATAGTATCAAAAAACACTAAATTATTACAGAAATTGTTTTGACGTCACTGGTGGTATACCACCATCTCTTGACTCTGCAATAGGAACCAACACTGCAGAGTCAAGAGATTTTCGGTGAATCAGACTCCGAATCCAGCTCCGGCTTCCAATATCGACTCCGACTCCGACTACGGCCAGAACTGTCGTTTCCAACCGACTCCGACTACCCTATTTGTCGGACCCCAACGGACTCCGACTCTGACTCCGTAACCCTGGTGTAGGTTCAGTGGTTTGAATCAATGCCCCGAGTGACGTCATGTGTGAGCTAGCCATGGCTTGTCCGCTACGAAGATGAAATAGGCAATAGCCCAATCAGCAGGCTGCACTGTCAATTTGCGGACGAAGATTTGCGAAAAAAAATGCGAGACGAAGAAATGCGGAAACGAAGAAATGTGCGGACGAAGAAATGCGAGACGAAAAAATACGGAGACGAAGAAATGCGAGACGAAGAAATGCGAGACGAAGACATGCAAGACGAAGACATGCAAGACGAAGACATGCAAGACGAAGACATGCGAGACGAAGAAATGCGAGACGAAGAAATGCGAGACGAAGAAATGCGAAACGAAGAAATGCGAGACAAAGAAATGCGCGGACGAAGAAATGCGGAGACGAAGAAATGCTCGGACGAAGAAATGCCAGACGAAAAATGCAAGACGAAGAAATGCAAGACGAAGAAAGGCGGAGACGAAGAAATGCGCGGACGAAGAAATGAGCGGACGAAGTTTTGCGGACGAAGAATTGCGCGACGAAGAAATGCCATGCAAAGATTTGTCCGGATACGCTGCGGTATCAATTGATTTTCGGTGACCCAGACTCCGACTCCAGCTCCGGCTTCCAAAGTCGCCGTCGACTCCGACTCTGACTCCGGCCACAACTGTCAACTCCACCCGACTCTGACTCTGACTCTGTAACCCTGGTGCGAACCACAGCTCAGGTCCAGTGGTTTGAGTCAATGCCCGGCCAATCAGCGAGCTGCATTGTCGTGTGACGTCATTTGTGTTCTAGCCATGCCGGTCTGCCACGAAAATGAAATAGCTCGACCTTGCAGGAAAACCGTTAGGAAAGCCGTTGACTTCAGTTGCCGGAAGTGTGCCCACGTGGGTGCGTGTGGTGTGAGCAGGGAGAGGAACTCATTTGAATTAACGCGCTTTTAATGTCGTCAAACGTTGTTTAAAGTGTAGATTTACTTCAAGTAATAGTGCTTTAACGATAAACTTCAGATATTATTTGTAGTTTGCTCAACATGCGTATTTAAACAACGAGGCGCCCTGCACTCGGCGAAATTTTGAAGTAGGACAAGATAGCAACGCACCATGGAGACTGAGGTAAGTTTTTATGTCATTAAGCTGCAGAATAACTCTACCTAAGTAAGTAGCAATAATCACCGGTTGATGGAACATTGTTGAAATGTGAGTAATTCCTTACGGTGAATGGAGTCACGGACCCATGAGCCTTACGATAAGTTTTCATTAGATTTCGCCATACATTTCGTGCCCAAATGTTTTGGAATTTATTGTTGCATATAAAATAAAGAATGACATGCATGTATTGTTAATTTGCGTCACGTGGTTAACAACTGCAATTATGACTCTGTTGGAGAGTGTATTTTGATCCCATAAGGTGTTTGATTCCGAGAATCATTTGACAATATCTGGTATAAAGACTGATTGAAAAGAAGACGTCATCGTCAATAGATAAAATTGTAGCTGCAAGGGTGAAGACAATTGTAAGCTACATTTAAAGTCTCGTTGCAGTCTGGCTAATCATTCCTATAAGCTTCAGAAGCAGAACATACCCATGTGTATGTTGGTTAGTTGTACCATACTATTGGTCTCAAGATAAGGGCCCAGGCGACCTGTTTTTCTGATGCGATGAATATACCCTTTATACCCTCGCCGCAGCTCGGTTCGAGTGCATCCCTCACCCGTGCACACAACCCAATCCCCGCACTCGAATATTACCGGTATTTCTTATATAGGAGACCAATAGTACCGGTAATATTGATATTAGCTGATGTATGACGCTAACAGGAACAGGCTCTGAACCGGTATAGAAAAACCATCCCAAGAGTCATTTGACACCGTTGAGGTGACACCTACGAGGGGTGTTTTTTGAAGCGTACCAAAAACGCGCAGTTTCCAGGAGTCCGATTACACCCGGAATCAGACACCCCCCGAGGTAATCTGACTCTGGTTGGGAGTGTATTTTATACCACATGTCGTCAAATGATTCCCGGAATCATACACCGTGTGGGATCAAAATACACCCTCAAAATCCGATTACTCCCTGAAGTGACACCTAAAAGGGGTGTTTTTTGAAGCGTACCAAAAACGCGCAGTTTCCAGGAGTCAGATTACACCCGGAATCAGACACTTCCTAGAGTATTATGACTCTGATTTGGGGTGTATTTTTATTCCATAAGGCGTATGATTCCGGGAATCATTTGACGCCGTACGGTATAAAAATACACCCTCAACCAGTGTCATAATACCCTTGAAAGTGTCTGATTCCGGGTGTAATCGGACTCCAGAAAACTGCGCGTTTTTGGTACGCTTCAAAAAACACCCCTTTTAGGTGTCATTATTTTTTTCAGTGTACTTAGCTTTTCTCTACACTTGCAGTAACTTCTTTGCGGAAAACCTCCAACTAAAATAGTCCCAGTAATTTTCACCAACACACACGGAATAAGATCTGACCCTTGACCGGGAGCAAGTGTAGATTTTTTATGGGAAAGTACACTTCTAGTATATGTTTTAACCCGCGCCCTGCTGGGGGGGGGTGTTTGAACACCCCCCCCTGTGGTTTTTCGCAAATATCTCAAAAACGGCGGCGCGGAGCGCCGCCGTTTTTGGTACACCTTATCATACATCAATTCTACACATGTTATGAAAATTTCAGACCAAGGTCATTCAAGGTCAGGTCACCAGGTCACTTGAAGTGACCTCACCTCATAAAAAGTTTCAATGTCTGTCATAGCTACACCGAGTGACCGATCGCTTTGAAACTTTCAGTGATTGCTAAGAGCAATAGCATGTACAAAATGTATATATCAGAATTTTGATATCGATGACCTAAGGTCAGGTCAATTTTGCGACCTCCCCATTATAAGTCAATGGGAGAAAATTGAAATGCACCTCTTTTGGACGAAAGACATTATAAACACTCCCAAACACTGAATTACAAGTGGTTTAGACACACTGAACATGAAAATGGTGTCCGTGACCCCTATTTATGCCCTGAGGTCATCTTAGGTCACGAATGGTATCTAACAGTTTTTCGCAAATAACTTTTGATAGAGGCATGCTAGAGCGATGAAAACGCCTTAGATGTGTTCAGCTCGACGATACGGATCGACTGATATGCAATATGACCCTTTTCGGTCAGGTCATGACCTTGACCTGAGGTCAAATTTTCAAGTTGACCTTTCAAGGTCAAATTATAGTTCATTCGATGCGTCTTGACGAGAGGAACACGATGCCGGTAAAAGTAAGCTCGTACAAGGCTTGGGTCAAAATTTATTGCAGAAAAACTGTTTCCGAAAAAATCGGCTATTTTTGCAGTTTTTGCCCCCTGCAGGCAAAACCGTTGACGTTAGGTCAAATCTGAGAGAATTACTCAGAAAGGACGTTAATAGGGCTATCGAATGCGCTTTTCCGCGGCGCTGTAGCTCTATTGGTTTCCGAGTTATGCGTTGGCTTCTTGGAAACTGTCGACATTCGACCTGGAAATCGGCGAAATTTTGCCTTCAATGACCTCTGGTGACCTGACCTTTGACCTGACCCAAAAAATTGACCGAAGTGATTTCGTCATTATTTTTGACGCTCTTTCGAACGCCGACTTCCGCGTATCGCTACGTGGCCCAGGAGCCGAGTTAGAAGGGGGGGGGGTGTTCAAACACCCCCCCCCCAGCAGGGCGTGGAAATCCAGGACCCCCAGCCGGGCGCGGGTTAACTCGCCCAAACTGTGTTTTTTTCTTTTTTAGTTTTGATGATAACTGTACGCTAAATTTGGCATCACTCAATAGTGGGCTTATTGACTCCTGTCTTATGCCTCTCAATTCAAAGCAGGTCCAATGATCCTACGTCGGCCTCTAAGAACCCCACGCCAGTCTCTAAGGGTCATACGACGGCCTCTGCAAGGACCCCACACCAGTCTTGAAGGACCCTCAGGCAGTCCTCCTTTGAGGGGACACATAAGGCCCAAAAAGCTTAACCCGGC